TAAAGATGCCTCTTTTTTACATTTTCTGCATCATTAACTTTTTTTTTTTACATGGCTGCTATGTTAAGTTTTTTTAGCATGATTCTCAATGCTTATAATATTTCATTTACACCGCCGCATCGACCACCACCGTCCCTTCGTCGTTCAGAATTGTCTCACCGTTTCTTCTTCTGCACACACACAGAAGCCCAAAATTAAATTATGGCAAAAATGTTGCTGGAACTCCCGCTGCTAACCAACTCTCTCCGGCTGCCTTTCGATGCCGATCAAGCCTATCTCAACCGGAAATCCTTCCTCCAAACCCTCAATTCCCGTAGGTATGTATCCATCAGTATTTGTGGATGCTGCTTAGATTCGAATAATCCATCGTATTTTTTTAGATATTTTTACAGTTTGAAAAATGATCTTGTTTTGTGTTAAATATGTATATATACTCTGTACTAATTAGAATATGGAAGTGGGGTGGTGATGGTGTGGTGTGGCGACGACATGGTGACGATGAAGAGCAGATCTAGGGTTTTTTGGTCGATTGTGGCGGAAGACGGCGCAGAAAAAGAAATTCGCGCAGGCAGGGCCCTTAATCGACTATGTGTGTTTAATCGACTATGTTCAATAGTCGATTAAGGCTTAATCGACTATGTTCAATAGTCGATTAAGGCTTAATCGACTATGTTCAGTAGTCGATTAAGGTTAACCGACTCCAGTTGTTATTTTTTTTTTTTTGTTTTCTGATTTTTTGTTTATTGATTCCAATGTATAAATCAATTACAATGTTTGTATATATTTTTTTTAAATATAGTTGATTTTGCATTTTTTTTGTAATTGTGATTTGTTATTTTTAATAGCTAAAATTTTAATCGACTATGCATTATAAACCTGATAGAGAAAAAAATTAAAAAAACCCAAAAACATTTAAAAACAAAATTAGAAAAAAAAATTAAAAAATTAAAGATTTTCCTTAATCGACTATGAAGCATAGTCGATTTAAGACTAATCGACTATGCGTCATAGTCGATTAAAAAATCGGAAAAAAAAAAAAAAAAAAAAATCGCGGAGCGCTGAGGTGGCGGGGCGGGGGTAAAGCTGGAAATACATAATGGCTGCAAATGGGTGTGGACTTTTCTCAAATGGACTAAAATATTTTGGGCCTCCCTCAATTAAAAAAAGTAGTGAGGGGGTTTTCTCAAAGAGCCCCTAAATTATTAGACATTCGATGATCCAATAAAAAACATACCATGGACGCAAGATAAGCTATGATAACATAATATTTACGGGTCGACCTGAGAAGTTATTGGGGATACCAAACAGCAAACAATGTCCAATCATTTAGTTAATAGCAAACGAGGCCTAACTGGATTGTTGAGGTGCAAACCAAGTCTCACAGTGGTTTAATATAGGAAAGATCGTTGGTTTATAAAGTAAGGATAACAACTCTATTGGCATGAGGCCTCTTGGAGAAACCCAAGAGCAAAATCAATTGAACAGCCCATATTGGATAATATTATACCAGTGTGAAGTTTATGCTATCCCGTGGCCCCCAACAAATTGGAGGGATGTTTCTAATTTATATAACTAATTAAAATTATTAGCATAGGATAAACAAAAGAACTAAAATAGCTAGTGAACAAAGATAATTGCCCAAAATCTGATTAAAGAGAAAGATACTGAAGACAACGTTGACCTTCGAGTTTGCTGGCTGTGAACTTGTATTGCATAGGCAAGTATACACAAACATAGTCGTGGTCTTTTCCAACAATGTTGTCGCCGTTAGGATAGATTATTAGTATCCTGCACAAGTTCAAATATTGATTTTATCATGCAATTCTTTGAATATTGTTTAGATTTTAACGAGGGGTTGAACCAGGAAATTTGATTGGGGGTTTTTATGAACTGATACAATAGAGGAAGATTAATTTTTTTTGGGTGTTCGGGTGCATCGGCCCCGAATGTTTTTAGAGTAATTCATAAAAAAATAAGCAAAAAACAAAAGAATATTGGTGCATGATTTTCTTGCTTTTAGGAAACAAAATTGATTTTCTTGCTTTTAGGAAACAAAAGAATATTCATTCTTGCGAATGTCAGTGCTTGCAGCAAATGATTTTCTTATTTTTTTATTGTGTTTTTTTTAACGTCCAAAGAGCAATTGGCAATAATTTGAAATGATATTGGATTTAAGAATCCGAATAGTTTTGACCAATTATTGTCCTGAACTTGCCCTCAAGTGTAGGATTTGACCACAGGTAAGATCAACAACTCTACGAGGGAAGAGCTGGTTCTTCTTGAGAGCACTAGTGAAACGATTTAAACTTCGACATAGGAGGAAGAGATGAGGGGCGAAGATTGTCCCATCGAGCGTGCCAATTTATTAACCACAAATTTTTCCATTTGCAAAATATAAAAATATAAGACAAGAAAAATATAAGAAACAAATAAATTATTATCAAACGAAAGTGGATTACAATCACCGGAAATTCCCCTGATTCTTCTCTCCTATTCTAATTTTGATTCAAGGGCTTAGAAGCTTGTTCTTGAATCGAACGAATGATTTCCTATCGCGAACACATTGAATTCAAATATGTTATGAATTCAAGGCGGAGGCTCAAGACGTGAGCTTGAGAGCTCGATATGTTTCTGTGTGAGTCTGATTTTTGCAGGTAACCAAGACCTTTTTTTATAGGCTTGAGCTAGGGTTTCGACTTGTAGAAATGGGCCGGTGAACTTGGATAATGTCTTTTGATTTATTTGGGCTAAGTATGGGCGCCATCAGCTAATCTAAAAAATAAGAATTTATTACTTATTTTTGGATTAAACCATTTAACACATGGACAAATGGCAAATAAGCCCATGACAAGGGCACTTAATTAAAAGAGGGACATCCAACTTTTTTGTCTTTCAAATAAATCCAACCCATTCAAACTTATTTGCAAATAAGGAAAATCCCTTTATATATACCAAAATTACCCCCAATTCATTGAAACCCAATTCAACTCCAATTTCAGAATTTACACCCCAATTTAGCCAAATTTCATCAATTAACCAATTTTAACCATAATTTCAATTTTGACCCCAATTTTGACCCGCCACCGCCGGAGACCGCCAATCTCCGGCGTTAACTTTTTTTTTTTTTTTTTTTGTTTTTTTTGAAAAACTTTCTTTTTTTCCTGAAATAGTTTTCCGGCCGGTCAACGGCTGTTGACCGCCGGGTCTCCGGATTTGACTTTTTTTTTTTTTAATAATTTTATTTTTTCTTAAAAAAAATATTTTAATTAACATTACTGTATTGGCTGCTAAATTACTGTCTCCGGCAGTTATTTAACTGTCGGAGACAGTAATTTAACTGTTAATTAATTTTTTTTTTCTTCAAAAATATTTTAATTAATATTACTGTATTCGTTGCTAAATTACTGTCTTCAGCAGTTATTTAACTGTCGGAGATAATAATTTAACTGTTAATTGACTTTTTTATTCTTAAAAAAAATATTTTTAATTAATATTACTGTATTCGTTGTTAAATTACTGTCTCCAGCAGTTATTTAACTGTCGAAAATAGTAATTTAACTATTAATTGACCTTTTTTTTAATTTTTTTCTTAAAAAAAATTATTTTAATTAATATTACTGCCTTGGATGCTAAATTACTGTCTCCAGCAGTAATTTAACTGTCTTAGACAATAATATTAATAATATTACTGTTCGGGAAAATAATATTCATAATATTACTGTCTCAAACAGTAATATTACTGTCTGAGACAGTAATTTAGTAGCCAAGACAGTAATATTAATTAAAATATTTTTTTTCTAAGAAACATTTCAGAAAAAAAATTATTTTCTGAAAAATAAAAATTTGGGGGTTAATGTGATATATTTGTTTAAATCCGGGGTCAATGTGTCATATTAAAGAAGTTAGAGCATAATGGGTGGAATTGATAAGAATTATATTATGGAGGGTATTTTAGACTAAAGACATAGGGATGGGCTTAATTGATAGACTGTTTTTTTTTATGGACCAAAATGCATTTAAGTCCCATGTGATGGGCCTTTTTGCCATTTGCCCTTAACACATTTGTAACGCCCAAATATATATATTGTGGCATTTGATTTGAGACCCAATTAATAACCGATCTATTTGGCCATTAATTGGTGATTTTTTTTCGAAATTAGGGTGTTAACGGTAACTTCAACCCAATTGTTTGACGCATTTAAGGAGGGATCAATGGCTTTCATTAAGCTGCAATTGCAAAATCAAAACAAAAATATTTATTTTAGTGCAAATCAACAAAAATTGAGGAAACATCAAAACACTCAAATATCAACAAACACTAAGAGATCGAGATCGAGAGAGGCCATAACTACAAAATGCTACGAATTTTAGACCAATCCGCCAATAACTTCTCACCCAAGCGCCTGCTTCCAAAAACCCTAGCCGCCGCTAATCCACCAAGGTTCCTCGCTCACAAATGAAAAAAAAAAATTACAGAAATGAATCTAACAATTAAAAATGAACGAATTGCCATTGAAATATAGATCTTGAGAAGAGGAATCCAACGGTGGATAGCCCGTCAAATTCCGACTGCCGGAACACAAATTATACATCCAGCAAGACGCACTGTCGTCGAAATACGCACTGACCGTAAAACAATTGCAGAAACAGATCGAGTGTTCCAAAGTAAATGAAATTACCACCAAAATAAAGAACTCGACGAGAGAAATCCAACGGTAGTCAAACCATCAAATTCCGACCACCGGAGAGAGAGTTATGGCTTCGGGAAGCAACTTCGCCGGTTGGAGATCTATCGAGGTGGGATTTGAATCTGAGAGTTGAGAGAGGAAGAGAGGGACGAGTGTGAGTGGCTAGGGTTTAAAATTGATTTTAAAAGGGCATTTTAGGTATTTCAAGGTGAGCTGAGGGGGTCTTACATGTCAATACACGAAAGAACCGATACATAAAATCACTAAAAATAATGGTGAAGTGAAGAATGGTCTTAATTATTTTTGAATTGGCTAGGGAGAAACTTGCACAACAGCTTTCACAGATATCTCCACTTCTAAAAGACAAGAATCATTCACAATGAATCCTTTTTTAGGATCATTTATAGTTGCAATCTCTATGAAGCTAGGCCATCCCCAATTATCGTTGGAACCGACATACCACACAGTACCTACATCACAAAAATGCAGTGTTTCAGTGGTAGAAATATGCAATTTACGGAAATAAACATCAAGGTTTTATGCAAACTTGATTAACAGTTTAATGTTGTGTTTTGTTTTTTGTGCATTTTCAGACCAAACTCAGAACATTTTCAACCGAACTTATAAAATAAACGGATATAAACATGCCTCAGTTACGCTACTACAATTACCATATATGTTTGTTGATCGATGTAACTTACTAGTAAATTCATGATGTTGATCATGAAGCTGGTTTTTGATGCATATGGTCCGATGTGCCTGCACTCTTTCAGAAGGCGTACCAGTATTGGAACAACAATAGTACAAATAGACAGAGACATGGCGGCCAGATGCCTCTCCATATCCTTTGGGATAAAGCCGAACAATCCTATGTCGTGAAGAAAAATCGTTTCAAACGAACAAGTCAAGGATAAGACACAGTTCAAACACAAATCTATAATTACCATTTGTGGCCCCCGGCAGAAAATTGTTCGGAATCCCAAACATGTCCGAGTTTGGAGAAGTTTGGAATCTTCCAATCACGCTTGTAAGGAATTTCAAAATTCTTCAAAGACAAACACTCTGTTGTGAATGCTTCTTTTTTAACAACATAAACCTCAGCACCAAACACACAGCTGTCATTAACTAGGTATCCGTTCGATGAATCAGTTAGGAACTTCTTAGAGATAAATTTTGAAAAACCCCATTGGGGCTTCACTCCTAGGAAACGTCTTGTTATTCCTGTCCCATGTAAAAATATGAAATATTGTACAATTACTTTCCTCGTATAGAAATAGTCATTAGCAACTTAAGTAAACGAAATGAATAAAGGTAATAAGTACCTAATGAATAAAGGTAGTTGTCATGAATCTGATTGTAAAGAAAGATGCTAAACACAGCATTGACCTCCCAGTTTGCAGGCATTGAACTTGTGTCCCCCATAGCCAAGTATATAGAAATATAGTCGCAATCTTTTTCTTTATCCTCTCCATTAGGATAAATTATTAATTTCCTGTAAAGGTAAAGAAAGAAGAAAATTATAGCAACAAAGAATGACAACATAATAAAAACGATAATATATTGATACAAAAGCGAACCATATCATATTGGTATATTGAGTTGTCTATTTTAAATCGTATTGGCAACGGAATTTTACCCTTTCAACAACAAAATATTTCGTGGTGAAATATAAAATTTCTTGTAGTGAGCAAAGATTATGTAATTCTTTCAACACGGCTTTAGTTGACTTAAAACTTTAATAGCTAGAAGAATGTACGTACCACTTATGTTCTCCAGCCAGAAAATCATTTGTTTCGTATTTATCAATCTCGCAGTTTTGAAGCAACGAGCACGACTCAATCTTGAACAAAAAATGTGCTGGTGATGCATCTCTTGTTTCTAGTGCGATGTAATCTGACCACAATATATATATGTACCTTATCACGAAAAAAGAAAGAAAGAAGACATATTTGAATTTGTGAATTTATCGTACCATCTGCTAGTTGTCCTGCTGCTGCTACTGCTCGTGCTGCTGTTGCTGAGGCTGCTGTTATCAGAGCCATCGTGATTTCTTACTTTCTTTCTACTTTGGAGTTTTTGGATGAATTAATTAAGGTTTTTATTTTTTGTCAATTTTTATACCATTGTAGAACTTTTCTTACAAGTTTGAAACAAAGGCCTTCTGATCACTTGCCAAGAGCCATATTGTTTCAACGACAAGTTACAAGTTGATGATTAGAATCAGTAAACAGCTCTTGCATTATTGTTACATCTTATTTTTACAATTAACTTTTAAAGTGTTAGGATAATAATTTTATAAGCTATATTTACTTATTAAAACAGCTCTTATAATTTATTTATTTAAATATTATCGACCAGTACCATTCTTTTCATTTATAATGTACGTATTAGGTATTAAGGTTTAAAATAAAATATATAAATATAATTTCAAAATTATAGCTCTCATTTGGACCAATACTTTATTTAAGTTAAAACCATTTTCTATAAGCTTGAGTGCTTGATTTTTTCTTTAAAATTGATCCATCAAATTGTCAAATTGAATTGCAACCTTAATAATTATATATAATAATATAATTCATAAGTTAATTAATAAATTCAATGTAAGCGAAAAGACTAGTTGATATATTATATGGAGAGTGGAAACTATACAAAAAAGACGTGTCGATCTTATTTCACGTTTGAGGTTTATATTTCACAAGCAATATCTCTCATTTTGATTGACTTTTAAGGATCTTCTAACCATTAACAAAGATTATAGAACAATATTTAAGTGATTGATGTGATCATCACTGTAAACAGAGAATAACTATTGTAGTACTTATTGTTTTAACAGGGAAAATTACAGTGTATGTCCCTAAATTTTACCACTAAAATGATTTATTATTTTAGTATATCCACGTAATATATCCTTTAACTTGCCACTTTTGATCACTTTATATTCTGAGGTTAACGTCAGCAGCTAACTTCGACGGAAATAGCACGTGTGACTCACGTGACGTCTATGTGGCCGTTAAATGTGATGTGGCATAATATATTGAATATTAAATGTTGACCTGACACACGAATTTACTAATTCCCTCTAACTCACTCTCCTAAATTACCAATTCACAGTTCACGTTTCATTTCCATAAACCCTAATTTTTCCACACTAACAATTTCAATCTCCTCAACCCACTCCCAAATTTTCAATCCAATCTGCATTCTTGGTCGAACCCATCACAAACTCGAAGTCATAAACCCATAAAAAAAATCAAAACATTCTCACATTTGAAGAGTTTTTCCTTCTGAGACGCCGCGCTGCTTTGGGTGATTTCTGGAGAAGAAAATGTCAAGGAGTGAATCCGACCTTCAGTGGACTCCAAACTACGGCAAGTATCCTTAACTTTGTAGCTATGTTGTTAAATTATGTGAAAATGTGATTTTTGTTTTGTCTAATTTTTTTTTTTTTGCTTTTCTTTTTATCATTCTTTTTATCTTTTTTTTTTCTTTTTTTGATTCCTCAAACACCTAAATAATACGCTTGAACTACACGGAAATTCAAAAACTTGAGAAGACGATTTTGCTATTTTCGAATTTCACCTCAATTGAAGGATTCGAAATGGGATTTTAGAGGTTGGATTTTCGGGTTCATTGGGGATATGACGAATTAGGGATTTTAGAATAGAAATAGGGGAGGAGATTGACGCGTCGCTCCACATCACGTTTATCGGCCAAGTAAACACTGGGTTTTGTCCAGCTCGACATTTAACGGCCACATCGACGTCACGTGAGCGCCCACATGTATATATCACAAGCTCAACTCAACTATTTATTCAAGGAAATATTGGAGCCTTGTCATGCTAATGAAACATGCAGTAAGTCAACAAGCTACACGTATCATCAAGAAGCTTATTCAATACTTAGTGCATAAGCAAAGTCTATATTATTATAACACATTGGAAATTATCAATTGTGGAAACATAGGAGAATTTAGTGAATTCCTTATTTTAAAATTCACAAACAATTCAATAGACAAAAAAGATGTTGTAACTTACAGACTCCTTTGCAGTATCCACCAGGATTCTCGTGGTTTTTGATAAATACAGAACGACCGGTTGCCTCTCCATTTCCTTTTGGGTAAAGATTAATCTTTCCTGATATTATTTATCAATAGATTAATTAAAACTGCAAGCGCAAGAATTAAATCACTTTTTTTTAAGAAACATAATCACAAAAATACTAAACAAAATAACGTTACCATATTTGTGCCCTCCGGCAGAAAATTGTTCGGAATTCCAAACTTTTCCGAGTTTGGAGAAGTTTGGAATCTTCCAATTACGCTTGTAAGGTGTCACAACATTCTTTAAAGACAGACACATTCATTCATTGCTAATTGTCTTTCAACGACAAAAACCTCGGCACCAAGCACACAGTTGTCATCGACTAGGTATCCGTTTGATGGATCTGACATAAATTTCTTGGAAATAAATTTGGAAATACCCCACTCCGACTTCATTGCTTGGAAACGTCTTGTTATTCCTATTCAATATTCATATAAATGGCAATTATATATTATATATATATTATATTTGGTACTGTAAGGCCTCGATTGGTTGACAAGATAAAATTAGACAAGATAATATTAAATAATCTAATAAAGAGCAATTATATTATTGGACCTTCGATGATCCAATAAAAAACATACCAAGAGGCAAGATAAGCTATGATAACATAATATTTGCGGGTCGAACTGACAAGTTATTGGCGATATGAAACATCAAACAAAGTCCAATCATTTAGTTAATCATGACTAATCTCCCTAACCAAACGAGGCCTAACTGGATTGTGAAGTGCAGAGTTTTTTTCAAGCAAAGAGAAGGATCAAAAAATTTGAAGGTGTTGCTTCTCTTGTTTCCATGGTCGTGAATTCTGCCACGAGTACTAATACAATCAAATAAATTCAGATCGCTCTCTCTCTCTCTATATATATATTTTCTATAAATATTACAAGAAAGAAAATTAAAGGAAAAAAAAAGATATAGTTTGGTGTGCTAATATAATTGTTTCGGTTGATCTCTATTAATTCTTAAGCATGGGAGAGAGTTCTTGTGCAATACGGAGTTTGTATTCCAAATAAAATAGTTTTTTTGACTGCAACTAATTATTGGATCACCTATTTACTCTACAATTTCATATATATGATGTTTCTTAGAGACATCTAATGCTAGATATTAAAATTGAGTTATCAAATTAAATACTCATTTGATATTTGAGAATTATTTTAATATTGATTTAAAATTCATTTACTCCAACCATGGTTATTAATTTAATTATCAATTGGAAGTTTATGGGTGGTTTTATTTGTAACTGCCACGTGTCAACTTTTGATTGGATGTTTAGGAGGTTAAATTTTTTAAAACTCAATTTCAGCAAGTATTTTTACAACCCAAAAGGTGAATTATCAAAATGGAAACCTCATTTGATAACTCCATTGGAAACCTCATTTGATAACTCCATTGGAGTTAAATATTTCTAATTTTAAGTATGTAAATGGGGGTTAAATGTTTGAATACTCTATTTGATAACTTCATTAGAGTTGCTCTTAGTGAAGGTTAATATTAAGAACATCAATAATAAGAGGTTTTAGCATCCGACACTCCTATGTAATGTCTAATGGCTAAAAAGCCCCTATGTTAAAACAATTAGCACATACCCCTTGTGTTACATAGTCGACGACATTAAGGCCCCTACGAGTTGGTCGTGTTATACACTCGCCAAATATGCAACTGGGGTTCGATTTTTTGACGTGAAATTACTCAAATACCCTTTGTATTATAAATTTCAAAAATAATCCTCAAATGGAGTTTTTATTTTTTTCAATTCAGTTCCTTCAAGTTTCAGAAAAGCCCTCTTCTCCAAAGTCAGGTGACTGAATTGCGAACTGAGAAAAAACCCACCTCAGCCCTTCGCCGCTTCTCACCACCCCAAAGCAGTGCCTCAACCCTTCGGAAGTACAAAATTAATTCCAATTCCAATTCCAAAATTTTCGGAATCTAAATATTCATTCCAATTTCAAAAGGCCCGCAAATTTCGGAATTTCGGAAAAAATCGGAAATCACATAAGCTATTAAATTTCAAAACTTAACCGAGTTTTCTTAAAATGTTCATAATTTTTAAAAAATAAGAACATCCACGTCGATAAAAGTAAAACTAATAACTACCAAATTGCAGTTAAAAAAATAAATAAAAATAAACACAAATAATATCCAATAAAAATTCTAACAACAATTCATTATGTCAAAATCCTAAAACAAAACTTATAGGTGTATTTTTCGGATAATAAGTATTATATTGTACTATATAATACATGGGAAAGTACAGTTTGCATCCCTGGACTATAGGATTTCTCACAAACTCCCTTGTACTACAAAACGTAACAAAATGACCCCTCCGTTTTCAATCTGTTTGTGTGTGATGATGTGGCGTGTGGACTTTTTTCAATTTTAGTCACTTTTGTGGCTGCAACAATTTATATATATATATATATATATATATACTACCAACAAATACACAAAATTGAACCAAAAATCTTTACAGCACACAAAATCATTTTTTATCGATAAAAAGTTAGAATATTTGATTTCCCAAATCTTTACATCACAACAAATATATAGTTTTTCTTTACCAGTCCACAATATTGTAAATTAAATCCTAACAAATCATGATGATAATGACATATAGTGTTAGAAATAAAAATATAATTAATTATAAAAAAGAGAAAAAAAAAAGAAAAAAGAAAAAGAACCAGAGTTGGCCTATCTATGCCTTCTCTTATCCGATGGCTTATGCCTTCTCTAGTTCAACCACACCAATCACTTGTGCCTTCCAAATAGCGAAATCTGATGTTGGAGTATGTCTTGTAAGATGGTGGCAACAACAGTCAGCGTCGTCGGCGGGGGTATTCAATTTCAATTTAATGAGGAGGGGGCGAACGAAGCTGCTACAAACTGACAACAATGGCGCCTTTCGCCGCGGGACGACGCGTTGGAGATTGAAGGCTGCA